CTAATTAACTAAACGCAATTAATTATGCGAACAGCCGTCCCAGCCTCCTGGCCAGCCTCGCGTCCCTCTCCCTGGCCGCGCTCCGCACCCTCCTGAGCTCCCTCCTGGCCCCGGCGTGGCCGGGCTGGACCCTGAGCACGGCCACCAAATCCTGCCCGGCGGCTTCCAAATCCATCATGGCGGCCTGGGCCACGCCCCGCCGGTAGCGCGCCTCCAGGTGCGCCGGCCGCAGCGCCAGGGCCTTGCCGGCGTTGGCCGCCGCCGCCGCCGGCAGCCCCAGGCGCAGCTGGGCCAGGGCCAGCCCGGCGTGGAGCTCGGCCTTGACCCCGCCCAGCTCGGGCGCGTCCGGCGGCGCGCCGGCGGCGGCGGCGGCGCGGAGGGCGCGGGAGAAGGCGCGGCCGGCGGCGGCGTCCAGGCCCAGGCCCAGCAGGGCGTCGGCGCGGGAGCGGCCGCGGAGAACCGAGCGCCAGCGGACGGGCGCGGGCGTGGCCCAAAACGGCGGGGCGGGCGTGAAGAGGCCGAGGCGGACGGCGATCGAGGCTCCGGCCGCGCCGGCCGGGCGCAGCGCCGCGACTTCGCCGGCCGTCATGGTTTCCAAGATGGCGTCCAGCGCCCAGGACCAGCGGCCTTCGGCCGAGCCCAGCCGGACGCTGCGCCAGCCGGACGGCGCGGCCGGAGCGCCCCAGGCGGCGCCGCCGTGTCGGGCGGGGCCCACGCGGACGCGGCACAAGGAACCGGCGCCGGGCCGGGCCAGGCCGCGCCCGCGCCGCAACGTCAGTTTGGACCAGGAAGCGTCCGGGCTGGGCCGCCAGCGCTCGGAGCCTTCGTCGCCGTCGTTAAACTCATTTGCATAGAGCGGCTCCGCCTCTTCGTCCTCCAGCTCCGCCCCCCAGCACTCGGGCTCCGCCCCGAACGCCTCCAGCCATTCGTCGTCCGGCGCGCGCAGCCACGCCTCCTCCAGCGACCAATCCCAGGGCTCCGGCCGCGGATCGGCCGCCAAGGGGGGAGGGGAGACGTCATCGGTGGGGGGAGGAGGGGGCGTGGCCGGGTTGGGCGGGGCTTGGCGGGCGCGGCCCTGATTGGCTGCGGCTGAGGGCGCTGCGTCCGGATTGGTCGGCGCTTGTAGCGCTGTGTTCTTATTGGTCGGGGGTGCTGCTGCGTCCTGATTGGCCG